TAAACTGAGAACCCTAAAAAACCATTACCATCTAGTCAATTTCAACTCAGAATGTTAGAACTGCCCCAGAAGTTTTCCAAAGCTGTAATTTATACAGAAGCAGACGGCCACTTCTTTCTCTCGCTGAGAAGTTGGTGGGTTTGAACACACCAATCTCTCAGTTAGCAGCTAAGCTCATAATCACCACCAGGAGTCCTTTGTAAAATGATGTTGTTGTTATTGTTCAGTGCCATCTGACTCAGCAATGGTAGGTACAACAGAAAGAAACACTGCCCCATCCTGCAGCCACCTCACAATTATTGTTATGTTTGAGCCCATTGCTGCTGCCACTGTGCCGGTACATCTCGTTGAGTTGTTGGCCCTCTTTTATGTTGACCCTCCACTTTACTTAGTATGATGTCCTTCTCCAGGGACTGGTTCCTCCGATAACATGTCTGAAGTATGAGAAACCAAGTCTGGCCATCTTGGTTTCTAAGGAGCATTCTGGTCGTACTTCTTCCAACACAGATTTTTGTTTTGTGTTGTTCTTGGTTCCCTTAATATTCTTCTTCAACACCATACTCAAATGCTCCAGTTCTTCTACAGTCTTCCTTATTCATTGTCCAACTTTCACATGCATATGAGTCTATTGAAAATAATCATGGTTTGGGTCCGGGGCACCCCAGTCCTCAGACTTACATCCTTGCTCTTAAACACTTTAAAGAGGTCTTGTGCAACAGATTTGACCAATGCAATACATCATTTGATTTCTTGACTGCTGTTTTCATGAGTATTTATGATGGATCTAAGCAATATATCCTTTGATTTCTTGACTGCTGCTTCCATGAGCACTGATTTTGGATCCAAGTAAAATAGAATCCATGACAACTTCAATTTTTTCTCATTTATCATGATGTTGTTTATTGGTCCAGTTGTGAAGATTTTATTTTATTACATAGAGTTGTAATCCATATGAAAGGCTGTATTCTTTGCTTTTCATCAGCAAGTGCTTCGAGTCCTCTTCATTTCCAGAAAGCTATTTACATATCGCAAGTTGTTAACTAGTCTTCCTCCAATCGTGATGCTGCATTCTTTTTTATATAGCCCAGTTTCTCGAATAATTTGTTCGGTATACAGATTGAATAGGTATAGTAAAATTATACAGTTCTGATGCACAACTTTCCTGATTTAAAACCATGAAATATTCTCTTGTTCTCTTTGAATGACTGTTTCTTGGTCCATTTAGTTTCCGCATAAGTGCAAGTAAGTATTTTGGAATTCCTATTCTTCAAAATATTATTCATAGTTTGTTATGATTCACACAGTCAAATGCTTTTGTGTAGTCAATAAAACACAAATAAACATCTTTCTAATATTCTCTGCTTTCAGTCAAAATCCATCTGATGTCATCAGTGATATCCCTCATTCCACACCCTCTTCTGAATCTGACTTGAGTTTCTGACAGCTCCCTGTTGATAGACACGGCAACCATTTTTAAATTATCTTCAGCAAGTTTTACTTGCATGTGATATTATAATGTTGTTTGATAACTTCCTCATTTTGTAGGGTCATCTGTCTTTGGAATGGACACAAATATGGATCTCTTCCATTTGGTTGGCCAGGTAGCTGTCTCCAAATTTCTTGGCATAGATGAGTGAGTGCTTCTAGTGCTGCATCTGTTTGTTGAAATATTTCAGTTACTATTCCATCAATTCCTGGAGCCTTGTTTTTCACTAATTTCTTCAATACAGCTTGAACTTCTTCCTTCAATGCAATTGGTTCTTGATCATATGCTACCTCCTGAAATGTTGGAGCACCAACCATTTCTTTTTGGTACAGTGATTCTGTGTTCCTTCCATCTTCTTTTGATGCCTCCTGTGTCATTCAACAATTTGCTTGCTGTTGTTCTTGACTCTGACCCTGTATAGTGTTTCTAAAGAGTGACCGGTGGGTTTGAACTACCCATAGAATCCTTCAATCTTGCAAATCAAGATTGTAATATTTTTTTAAGGTCTGTCAGCTTGAGAAATGTTGTGCGTATTCTTCCTATTTGATTTTGTAGCTCCAGGTCTTTGTAAACTGCGGTTCTTTTTAAGTGCTGTGGAGTCTGTTCTGACTCATAGCAACCCTGTATAGGACTTCCAGGGAGCAGCTGGTGGGTTAGAGCCTCCGACTTTGTGGTTCAGTTCAGTGATGCTAGGGTGCCACAGCAGAACTCCTTGTGAACTGACAGCGAGGATTAAATGTACTTAGCATAGTGCTTGACATATAGACATAAAGTATTAAATCATGTGAGCGAGCTATTATTATTATCATCATTGGATTTCCGAAACTGGAGGCTAGAGACCAACTGACATTATCACAACAGTTTCCATCGCTTCCAGGGCTGTCTTAGAATGGGTTACGATGTGGTCATTGATCAGGATCCTCCTTGGTCTTTCTGTCTGTGGACTGTGCTACCATTTGTCTCTCCTCAGACTCAGAGCTCAAAAGGACCTGACTAAGCCCTGTTCTTCCACAGTTGATTCTGAAAAGAAAGTAAAAACCCTGGGGGTGCCATGGATTTGAGAGGATAGATTTAGGGTAAGAGATGCAGAATGTCAGAGGACAGAGCAGAGAGTGTAATTTACAAGAGGAGGTGGAATTCCCAGCAGAAGTTAATTATGGAAAAGTGTAAGTAATGGTCCCACCTGCTTAGCACCTTTTCTCAGTCCTGCCAGAAGCTTTTCAGTCAATCCTGCTCTTATGCAGAGGCCAGAGTCCCAGAGGTGTATGCACCTTTGCACTCACCTGTGTTTCAGGTCCCTGTCCTGGATGCTGACACAGAGGATATCCCAAAGGGCAGAAAAACAAAGTTCAAAATTCTTAGGTTGCAAATACGAGACACATTAGCCCCCAGCATTGGACATCTATGCTGGAGAGGTGGGAAAAAGGGAAGTGCAGTGCCAGTGGGTGATACTGGAGTGTGAAGCCCACCTTAAACTGCAGGGAAGGACAGGGCTGGGCAGGAGGAACTGGGAGCAGTGAGCAGAGGAAATCTGCATGATTTCTAGTGATGTGTGGATAGGGGCAAGGAGGCAGCAGTGGGTGTTAAGTGCTGTCAAGTCAGTGGTTCTACTAGTGACCCTGTATAGGATTTCCAAGTAGGGGTTGGTGAGTTTGAACCACCGACCTTGCAGTCCAGTGCTTATTTTACAGAGTTGTTAGAGGCTAGCAAAGTACTGAGCTTTCTCTTCAATGTAGCCTACAAAGGAAGAACACAAACACATTTTAAAAGCCATCCTAGCATCCTGCAGGGAGCTTGATCTTCTTTTTCTCCGTCTCAACTTCCCACAGGGTTTTTCCACAGAGTAACAAGCTGGAGCCTCATAAAGGTCCTAGCCAGAACCATTTTGCTCAGGGCAAAATAAACAGTGATAAATGTTTGGGGACAGGAACTATACTCCCCACCCTGGGGTCAGAGCTTAGGGCAGGAGGTCCGAGAGTCTTGGCAAAGAAGCTCTCCCCCCTCCACTCTCATAACTCTCTGTGTGCTCCTGTCTGTTCTGCTCTCCAGCAGTAGCTCAAGGCAAGACAATGGGAAGACAATGCTCCCCAAATACAGGCCCTAGGGTCCCAGGATAACTCCCTTGAGGAGAGGCAGCGGCGCTAGGAGTAAGGTTCTTTGTATTTTGTATTTATTTAAAAGTTCAGGGTGCCTTTACTGACATTCTTGCTTGGGGGCCCAGAATTTATACTTAGTCACTGCCCACAGCCCTTGTTTTAGGAAAGAATGAGAAGGCTATTGCGTAACCTGAGTTGGGAGGATGTGGGCTGCTGCTTCAGAGGAGGCCTAGTTAGGAGTGCTGGAGAGGGGTGGGGCACTGCCTGGAGGAGGGGCCATTCAGGGAAGGCACACGGAAATGCCTGGACCAACTAACTCCTCTTCTACAGGATGCTCCCCTGCCATACACCCCCTGTGCCCCTGGGATTGGAGGGAGAGTGATTACTTCAAGGGCAGCACAGATTGATGAATCCATTAGATGATATTGGGGTGGGGAGCCAGATGTGGAGGAGAGGAGTGGAGGGGAGGGCTGACCTGGATGAAGGAGTGGAGTGAGGTCTACTCTTAGGCCACTGTTCCCAAGATCGCCCCAAGTATGGGCTCCTCTAACTCTAAACTTTTGTGCCTCTCACATGATTTCCTTAGCCCAGTCAGTTCTCACCTTACAGGGTTTCCTAGAGTTCATCCAAGGTGTATCCTGTCTCCTCAGCCCCTCCCCTTTTCAACCCTTGCTCCCCTTCCACAACTTCTTCCAGCCCATTACTCCAGTCTTGCTTGGTTTTCCCATAGTCCTTTCTCAGGGAACCTTTCTCTTGTATCTTCCCCAATTTTGTCCCTCCTCTCCTTGGTCTACTTTTTCCTATCAGCTATAGATTCTCCCAAGACCTCCTACCCCATTATGTGGGGTATCAGGATTGCAGGGTTCCCCTCTTCTCTCTCTGCCTTCCTAAAGCCCCACTTCCTCTCAGGATCCCCACACACCATCCCTTCACAATTCATTCTCAGCCCTCATGGTCTCCCTCGCCACCAGAGTGCTGCATCTCCATCAGCTTCCTTCACATACATACTAACTGGAGTCCAGTTCTTCATCCAACTCCCAGCCGGCCTCTCCTTCCTACACCCCTCTCCACCTCCCAGTCTCTCAAGCCAGCTGTACGGCACCCAAATTCCGGGAAAGATTCCCAGGAACAAAGAAAGAAAAATCAGAGCAAAATTTGGAAGTAAGCAAAAACTAGGAAAGGAGTGGGTAGAAAAGAGTGGGGAGGATCCAGGTGGGGGGGGCTTTCCAGTCCCAGCCAGTTTAGGGAATGCCCCTGCCAAATACACCAAATACACCCCCCCGCCCCCCCCCTTTCACCTGGCTCTTAAAGGGCCCGGCCCCTCCTGACCCGCGGCTACTTAAGGCAGAGGGGCGGCGGCGGGTAGCAGCTGCGCTTTGCCTGCTCTGGGAGGAGTGAATTGAGCAAAAAATCTAACCATGTACCCCCACAGGCTGCTGCCGCCACTGCTACTGTTAACTCTGTTGCTTGCTGCCCATCCAAGAGGCGCTCTGGCACGGTGCCCAGGCTGCGGGCAGGGGGCGCAGGCGGGCTGTCCAGGGGCGTGCGTGGAGGAGGAGGAAGGGGGGCTGCCAGCGGAGGAGGGCTGTGCGAAAGCTGGGGGCTGCTTCCGAAGAGAGGGGGAGCAGTGTGGGGTCTACACCCCGATGTGCGCCCTAGGACTGAAATGCCAGCCGCCCGAGAATCACAAGGAACCTTTGCAGTCGCTGCTGCTGGGCCGTGGCAGCTGCCGCCGGGTGCGTGCGCCCTCGGGTGAGTGTGCTCCCAGTGTCCTCGCCCACGTGAGACACTCATCTCCTGGCTGGGTCCTGGAGAGATGGGGGCGGGCAACCGTGCAGACCTCTAGGCCCTGGCCATTGACGCCTCCTCCTTTCCGACCCTGGGTTGGGAGGTAAGGGGACCAAGAGCAAAGATCAGTTAGAAGACTGGGGTACAGCCAAGGGAGCTGGGGGAGATGTCTGACTGCTCTTTTCTTGGCTCCCCTGTATAAAAGATACGGAGTCATGGTGTGGCGCTGTAGGATAGAGCACTGGACCGCCAGGTCGGTTTGAACTGCAAGGTCGGCGGTTCAAACCTACCAGCCGCTCCTCAGAAACCCTATACAGGGTCGCTATGAGTTGAAACCGACTCCACGTCACTTAACAACAACAATAAAGGACTGGTGGGATGGAGGGTTTCAGGACCAGCTCAAATAACCCAGCAGGCAAGGTACAGTCCTGAGCACCACTTGGCAGGCGTGGGGGGTGAGGGGGGAGGTGGTGCTCCAATGAGCAGTTTTTGTTAGCCATTGGTTTTGGTTTCCATTGCCAACTTTAAGACATCACTCAGCAATTTAAAACTGATTGTCATAGGCACTATGGGATTCTGGTGTGGCACAGTAGAATAAGCACTGAACTGCTAATTGCAATGTCAGAGGTCCAAACATCCCGAGCTTTCCTCCCAAGCCCTATGAATCAGAACCTATTCTAGGGCACTAACAACTACAACATAGGCACTGTTAGAAGATATGGCACTGTTAGCATGCCCAGCTCCTTCAGCTCTAGATCCCCAAGACAGTGTTAGAAAAAGAACCCAGATATTGTTCCCATCTTCTACTTGGAAAAGGAAGGGGACCCCAGAACCCAAATTCAGCACTCATGGAAAACACTGATGTTGTTGTTAGATGCTGTCAAGTGGGTTGTGACTCATAGCAATCCTGTATAAGGTTTCCAAGGCTGTAAATCTTTATGGGAGCAGAAAGCCTCTTCTTTCCCCCAGGAAAGTGGTTAGCAGTTCAGTGCTTATCGTGCAGAGCCATTACCTCTTAATACCAGAGTGTCCAAAGCACCTGACATCAATTGGGTCTACAACAGAGGACACCCGATGGACTAAAGACAGAGGGTAGAGCCTGGAAGCCCTGGGGAAAGAGGCTAGAGTTGGGAAAAGGGTTAGGAGGAATTAAACCTGTTCAGAACAAGAGACATATTTAGGGCATGGCAAATACGGCACGGAGTCCAGTTGTGGCACTGTGGGTTAATACACCAGACTGTAAAGCCATTTGAACTGCAAGGTCGGCGGTTCAAGCTCACCAGAGGCTCCTCGGAAACCCTATACAGGATAGCTATGGGTGGGAACCAACTCTACAGCACTTAACAACAAGTATGGCACCATTTGGGGTTGGGGAAGCACTTAACAACAAGTATGGCACCATTTGGGGTTGGGGAAGCACCGAAGAGCAGTTTCTATTCACCATCCATGTTTCCAATTTCATCTGTGAGAGATCACAGCAGCTTAAAACGAATAGCCATGGGCAGGCACTATTTGCTCTACTCAGAACACTCTATTCCACCCACCCCACCCAGCCCACCCTACCCCTGGGAGGAGAATAGAAGGCTTGAGTCACTGGGTGGGTGGGACAGAAGTGAGTCAGTTCCCAAAAGCAAAGAGGCAGCAGGGAGAAGAGGAGGGCAAGAAATGTAAATTGTACCCACCCCAGAGGTATCTGAGCTCCTGGTTTCATCAATGGAAGGAATGGGAAATTCACCTGGAGTTTCTTTCAGTCCCAAATGCTTGAGCACAGGCCGCTGAGGGTTCTCCTAGAAGACAAGATTGGGTGTAAATGGAAGGCATGAAGGGCAAGGTGTCTAGGGTGCCAGGATTGCAGAGGAAATGGCTCTTGGGCATTCTGTAGCATATGGGAGCAGCTATCTAGGTTTGAGGCCTAGGGACCTGAGTAGAACTTGCTCTTGGGCATTAAGAAGGTGTCTAATTTTACAGCTAAGGAGCTCTGGTAGTGTAGTGGTTACAAATTGGGCTGTAAACCTCAGGGTCAGCAGTTCAAAACTACCAGCTGTTCCGAGAGAGAAAGATGAGGCTTTCTGCCCCTGTAAAGATTTACAGCCTCGGAAACCCTGTACAGGGTCACTATCAGTCAGAACTGACTCCACAGCACATAATAACAACAATTTTACAGCTAGGGCAAATTCCAAGCAGTACATACCCCACTCCTTGTCTTTCCTGCTGCTGCTGCTGTTGTTAAGTGTTCAGACTCACAGTAACCACGTATAAGGTTTCTGAAGCTTAAAAATTTCCAAGTCTGTGGAGTGGCTGGCAGGCTTGAACCACAGACCTTTTGATTCACAGCCTAGTGTGAAGTCATATGGAGCCACCACCCTGATGTATTTCCTCTCCCCAATCCCAGGCCTGAGCTCTCCCAGGACCCCCTCAGATCCCATGACTAAAACTTTGTCCAGAGCCAATAGTAGTCTGTAGGTTGAAGCCTCTCACTCCTTGCCTCTTTGCAACCTGCTCTTTAGCCCCGTTGGTTAAAGGGCTGAATTCCACATGCTCCTAGGGCCACTGGGCTTGAACTGGGCTAAGCCACAGGAGACCCTCTAGAAGAAAAAGGCTCCACTGCAAAGACCCAAAAGTAACAACATCTCAGGCCTGGGAGGGGTGGGTTGAGTCATAACAGGGTCACATCAGGGACACACATTCCACTTGGATTCTTACTGACCCCCTCTCACATCTGTAGCTCTTCTTTCTCATCTCCCTGGCTTGGCGCACCCCCTGCTGGCCCCTGTTGGTATGACCAGGTCTTAATCACCAGAAGCCCAAACCAATAATCAATAATGCTTTGTATTTGTTCTGTAACTTTTGCTTTCCAAAATGCTTCTTTTTTACGCACCTTAAAATTACTCTGTGGATATTTCTAGAAATGTAGCATCACCATTTTTCAGAAAATGAAACTGAGACAGAAAGCTAGGAGAAGCTCAGGGTAGAGCTAAGTGCTGACACCTCTCACTTTTCCTATTATTCCACAAAGCTCTCTCTAGGTCCTACTTCAGCAGGAAGGGGTGGGTAAGGTTTTCCTCCACTTGGTTCTAGTCTTAGCATATAGCATGATTTCTAGCCTTTTCTTCTCCCATTCCTCATGTGACTGTAGGGACAAATCCTAAGGAGAATAAACACCAAGCGGAGGCCACCCGTCCACAGGATGTGAACCACAGAGACCAAGAGAGGAATTCGGGAACCTCTCCCACTCCAGCTCAACCCAGTCCTGGGGGTGTCCAAGACACAGAGATGGTGCGTTGGGGTCTGGCAGGGAGTAGGCCGGGTGGGAATCTCTGGAGACTCCTATTTGAGACCACTCCTTGAGTAGAGGCAATGATAGTGACCTTGCCCAGAAGTATAGTTGTCTATTCTGTCTGGTGTCTGTACTGGCAGCCTGGCGGTGGAGCTAGGTAGGCTAGGGCAGATCTGAGATGCCCACCTTCCCCCTCCTAGGGCCCATGCCGCAGACATCTGGATTCAGTGCTGCAGCAACTCCAGACTGAGGTCTTCCGTGGGGCTCTCACCCTCTATGTGCCTAATTGTGACCATCGAGGCTTCTACCGGAAGAGGCAGGTGAGGCCACTCTTTTCCTGCTGGTGGGGAAGGGGTAGTGTGGACACAGTTATAAAGTTGCCTAGATAAAAAATTGCCCCCAACCTTAAGGGTCTTACAGCTTTAAGACCCACACAAACAAAAGAATAATCAACCATACACTGCAGTAGAATTAATCTGCCTAAGGAATGGTTGAACTCAGTGGTTCTCCAACTTGAGGTACAGCTGAATCACTTGGAGAGCTTGTTAACACACGTATTGCTGGGCCTCACTGTAGAGTTTGGTTGTATAGGTCTGGAGAGGAACTGAGAATCTGTATCTCTACCAAGTTCCCTGAGGATACTGAGGATTTTGGTTTGAGGACCACACTTTGAGAACTACTGTTCTGGCCTAGAAGAATGGGTACAATTTAGTGAGTGGAGAAGTGGGGGAACCAAGGAAAGTGAACTCCGTGGGCTTCACTGTCCTGAGGGAACTCTCAGATGTTTTTCATACAGACTCAAGTGTCCACAACTTGTGTCCAGCTCAGGGGTCCCTTCTTACCTCTTCTGCTGGAAGCCTCAGGCCTCGCCTGATTGTGTCTCTCCCCAGTGTCGCTCCTCTCAGGGCCAGCGCCGAGGCCCCTGCTGGTGTGTGGATCGGATGGGCCAGCCCCTACCAAAACCACAGGATAGCAATGGAAGTGCCCCCTGTCCCAGTGGGAGCAGCGGCTGAGGCAGGGTGGAGGGCTGCAGGGCCACAGGCAGAGGCATGGAGGTGTCATTTTGGGTTATTTATTGAATGATGAGTAACTCAGGGGCCCTGAGCCCCACATTCCACCTTCAGGCCCTGTCCAATTGGCCCTGTCACCCCGAGACTTCACACAGTCTTCTAGTGGAAAGATTGTTGATATTGGTTTAGGTGTTAATAAAATTGTGTTGGAAGTCTCTGGCCTATGTCTCTGTGTCTACTTGTATTTCTGGAGCCCCCAGCTTCCTCTCTGCTCTCATCCCAGCCCCTTCCATTCTGCCTTCAGTCCTTCCTGCTGAGTTTGAACATAGAAGACAGCCCTCGACAGAGGCTTCAAGCTAATCAACTATCAATTTCACTTATCCACCCAGCAGGGAGTGGGGGGCAGGAGGTAGAGAGAGGGGAGACACTGAGGGCATGGCCTTAGCCTTTAGTTCTGACATGATCTTTGAACATAGGGGGAGGAGAAGATTAATAGTTAATCCCCACACAAAGTCAGCAAAGAGGAACTCTCAACTCCCTTACCATGCTGCCATTTCCTACTAAAGTACGAAGGAAATTAAGATTTCTCAAACTCCTCCCACGGGCCAGGCCCTGACCACATGCTTTTACCTGGACATTTTGTGCTTCCAATAACCTTTTGAAGTAGAGCTCTAAAAAATGCACCCATTTTTTCAGAGGAGGAAATTGTGGCTTAAAAAGTTTGGGCTGCCTCCCATGGGCGAGGCCTTGACCACGTGTTTTTACCTGGACTGCTTCATTTTGTGCTCACAAAAACCGAAGTAAAAGATTTTTGCACCCACATTTCAAAGGAGAAAACTGTGACTTAAAAAGTTTTCTAGTAAATAACAGAGGGAAAATTTGATGTGAATCTGTTTTTTTCATAGGTGACAAGAGCTAGCATTCCATAGGTGCTAAATAAGTGTTTGCTTTATCTCCTTTCTGCCTACATATGAACCAAAGCTAACAGGGGCTTTCAGCCCACAAAAGTCCTGGGTGCCAACCCCATCAGAATATTAATTACACACATCTAATGTCTGCAAGCTGATATTCACACATCTTATCTCATGGGCTGGGGAGCTGAATGCACTGATACCTGAAGATGGCCTGACTCCTCTCCGACCTTCAGCCTGCATCCAGAAAGGCCGGAAGGTGCACTGTGCTAGTGATAAGCCTCGGAGAGGCAAAGTCCCTCATGTACGCAGCCACCATTCCTGTAGGAGGGAGAGCACTCTTGGAGCTGGGTCTCTGGGAGCAGGAGTGGTGGGTGTTGAGGGGATGTGACAGCCTTTGGACAGCCTGTAGCTGAGCGCTGCCCTCTGGATCAGATAACCTGTCCTGCTCCTAAAAGGACTTTAGTCTTTGGCGCTGTCAGCCAAGCTCGTGGGGCAGTGAAGAGAAGGAGGAAGCACGGACAACGGCTGCCTGCTACCCACTTATGACTCATATCATGGAGGCAAGTGGGCCCTGTTTCCGTAGGAGAGAAGGGCTGGAAGGAAAGCCAGAGCACCGACCCTCGGAAGAAGGTGAGCCCCCCTGGGGGCGGTGGGAGGGGGCAGTTACAGAAAGCTTAGGTGGGGTTGGAGGTGAGGATGCATTGTTGAGAGAAACTTTCTACTATCTAGCTTCAACCCTTCCTGCTGACTTTGGAGATGAGGGAAGGCAGATCCTCATTTGCCCCAAATAGCCCAGCTGTAGAGAGAGACAAAAAGAGTTACTCAGAATTGTGGCCTTGCTTTACGTTTCTGATCCTTTATCCTCAAAGGGTAAATGAAGTAGTTTCCTGTTCCCTAGGTGCCCTGTTTTCAATAATGGTCCCCTCCCTCATCCCCTGCAAAAAGAACTTCTCCTTCTGATTGCCCTACCCATGTTACCAGATATGAACTGGTTGGGTGTGGGTGTTGCTGAGCAAACAGTTTACATTTCCTGAATAGAAGATGCCTCTGGGTCTACAAGAAACAGCCTAATCCTAATTCTTCTCCCTTAAGTGTGCCCTTTGACCCCTCCTCCTAGGAAGCACTGAGACGCACAAAGCCCCAGACTTGGTTCAATGGACTCGACACATGGAGGTGAGAAGCATCAGAGACCAGAGGTCAAGATGGACAGATCTTGGAGTGGAGGGAGTGAGGACCAGTTTGGAGATAAAGGCAACTTGTTTTTGAGTTCAAAGATGAGATTAGAATTAAGGATTAAGATGGAGGAATTTAGAACCCAGGTTCTCAAGGCAGGGACCAAAGTCAACCAGTAAACAGAGAATCTTTCTCTGTAAGTAAAAGTAGAGGTCAGGTGAGAGAGGCTGTGGGTCATTTCTAAGTAAGTGAGGGCTCAGAAATATAAAGTTGGTTGGATTTCAGGCCCAGGGAATGGAAACCTTGCACCCCTATCATTCCTGGGTCTTTGCTGTTGCCCTGGGGCTAAAAAGAGAGAAACTCTCTGAGCAGAAGCCATAGCTTATTCATCTTTATGCCATGGAATATGGTAGTACTGTGCCCAGCCCAGAAAATCTCAGTCAATGTTTGGGGAAGCAGAGGATGGCTGGCTGAACGAGGGGTGGTCGGCACTTCCTTGGCTTTGTCTTATAGGCTATGAAGACACAGTTGCTGGAGCAAGCTCAGGGACAGCTGATGGAGCTTTTGGATCGAGCCGTGTGGGAGGCTGTACAATCCTATCCGCCACAGGGTGGGCCCCTGCTCTCCATTCCTCCAAATTCCTTGAGCAAGTAAGAGTCTGAGGAGTCAGGAAGCTGGGGAATCACTGGCGTGGCCCCTCCAGCGTAAGGGTCATGATTCATAAATGTCATCTCATGTGCCCTTTGTCAGCCTTAGCAGTGAGTCTGACTTTAATCTCCCTTTTTTTCCCTTATTACCCCATGTTTATGACCCTGACCTCTACCTTCTGAGCCTTTCTCTGCCAGTGGTCACTTGCTCTATCATGGTACTGGCTCTGACCTTCTCCTATTACTTCTCCTATTACAATACATGGGAGCCTTTGACTCCCATGTATTGACCTTCTCCATGACCCTGCCCTCTGCCCACTGCCTTTTTCCTTTGGGTTGTGACCCAGTACAACCATCTCAATTCAGGACCAAGGAGTCAGCCGTTGGGAAACGGAAAGTTTTCATCATCCGCAAGTCCCTGCTTGAGTAAGTCAGGGGTAAAGATGGAATGGATAAAGAAGGGAAAGGAAGGGCTTCAGCCGGGGATCCAAGATATCTCATTTCTCATCCCCAGGTGTTAGGTGGTTTAAGAAAGGACTTGGAAAGGGTTTCTAAGGTTCACTTTCCCCAATTGCCCTGGGCATGACTATGGAAGAAAGCCCACCAGGAAGAGAATTGTATGGGCTGGCAAAGACTTTGAATAGATGCCCCAGCCACATCCTAGTCCTTGGCTGGAAGTTCCAAATCATTAGGCTCCATGCCCTCATGTATCTAGTGTCTGACACCCTTGAGGATCCTACTCACACTGACATGTGGGTCCCTGTCCCTCCAGTGAGCTGATGGAGGTGCAACATTTCCGCACCATTTACCACATGTTCATCGCCGGCCTATGTGTCTTCATCATCAGCACCCTGGCCATCGACTTCATTGATGAGGGCAGGTAGGCTCCCTTCCCACCTGGAGAGGCACACAGATCAGATCCAGGTCCCCTGGGTACCACTTGCCACTGGCCCTTTTGATTAGTGGGCACACATCAGCATCACTCAGACCTTCCAACAACATTGCCATCTGAAACTCACCTTGGAGTCCTTCTGAGGACACCCTGTTGTCTCTCAAGGGCTTCTCAATAGGGATCTTGTCTTGAGGTAGGGTCCCTCACAGAGCATCCCTACATAAGAGATGTGTCTCAGAGGACCTTGTTACTAAGATGGGGAAATAAATAAATTGTATACCCCTGGGGGGCCTATATTTGCATGTCTCCTACCTCACCCCATAGTAGGGCTTGTTGTTATGAGTTCAGATTCTGATTCACAGCAACCTTATAGCACAGACTACAACTGTTCCGTTGGGTTTCCTAGGTTGATATCTGTATGGCAGCAGATCACCAGGTCTTTTTTCCTGGGGAGCAACTAGTGGATTTGAACCACTGACCTTTTGGTTAGCAGCAGGGTGCTTTAACCATTTTGCCACCAGGGATCCTTATAGTAGGACTTAAGAAACAGTTCGAGGAAGAGGACCAGTGACCTACAGGGTTAGCATCAGCACTTCCTTTTGATAAAATATTTTTTTCTAATTGTAAATTGTATGAGTATGATGAATATAAAATCTCATAGCAAAAAGTTCAAGTATACATAAAATGACAATCTGTATTGATCACCCTTTTAATCTCAAACTGCTTCCTTGTTGTTAGGTGTCACTTAGTTGGTTCTGACTCATAGTGACCTTATGTACAACAGAATGAAACACTGCCTGGGCCTGTGTCATCCTCACAATCATTGTTAAGCTTGAGCTCATTGCTGCTGCAACTGTGCCAATCCATTTCATTGGGTGTCTTCCTCTTTTTCACTAACCCTCTACTTTACCAAGCACGATGTCCTTCTCCAAGGACAGGTCCCTCCTGATAATATGTCCGAAGTCTGAGAAATGAAGTATCGCCATCCTGGCTTCCAAGGAGCACTCTGCCTGTACTTCCAACACAGATTTGTGTGTTCTTTTGGTGGTCCATGGTACTTTGAGTATTCTCCTCCAACACTATAACTCAAATGTATTAATTCTTTCACAGTCTTCCTTATTCACTGTCCAACTTTCACATGCATATGAAGCTATTGAACATACCATGGCTTGGGTCAGGGCATCTTAGTCACAATTTTGAGAGTTTCCATCCTAACCATTTTCCATGTGTTCACATGGAACCAAAGATATGCATTTTGTAAGGTTTTTATATAAATAAGATAGTATACATTTGTCTTGCCATTTGTTTTCACCCACTAGCAACATATCTTAGAGATCTTTCCAAGTCAGCACAGAGAACTGTATTTCCACTATATTGGCTGCAGAAGATAGAAGCACCGTATTTTGTTCATCTGTTGCTATGTTGTTAGATGCCATAGAGTTGGCCAAGTCTCATGGCAACACTGATGGTTGTGGATCAGACAGCTTTATCCCTAGGGTTTTCATTGGCTGATTTTCAGATGTAAATAGGCATTTCTTCTTAGTGTGTCTTAATCTGGAAACTTGTCTGGAACCTGTGTAGCAGCATAGCACCACGTGGACCTCTACTGACTGGGTATGAGGTATATCGGCCAGGAATTGAATTCAGGCCTCACATGGAAGTCAATTCTACCACTGAATCACCATTTTGTTCATCTAGTTCTGTATGAGTAAACATTAAGGCTGTTTCCAATTTTTCACTGTTACAAACCATAGGCTCTTAACCTAAACAAACAAAAAAGTGGACAACCTGAACTCCATTGTTGTTGTTGTTAAGTGCCATTGAGTTTGTTCCTCAAACCTTGTATAGGGTTTCCAAGGAGTGGCTCAAACTGACCTAGAGTGAGTTTGAACCGCCGACCTTGTGGTTCAAACCGACCTAGAGTTCAATGCTTTATCCCACAATGCCACACTAGGATTTCTTGAACTCCATTAGCTCTAGTTTATAACTGCAGATACTCCAAAGTTACAAAACTAGCATAATCCAAGTTAAAAGTGAAATCATTCATATTCTAACACCTGTAGTATACAGAATACTGGACCTTTCTACAACACACAAAATTCCCAGAGGGATCTGAAGACACAGTCTTCTCAGGATACCTCAGTTTACCCTTGAAGGGCTCTGACTAAACAGGATAGAGACACGGATGGACTACATTTTTATCTGCTTTGTCTCACCTTCCCCCACTCTAAGGCTACTGCTGGAATTTGATCTACTCATCTTCAGCTTCGGACAGCTACCCTTGGCTCTGGTGACGTGGGTCCCCATGTTCCTGTCCACATTGCTGGTGCCCTACCAGGCCCTGCGGCTTTGGGCGAGACCCCGGGCTGGGGGCGTCTGGACCCTGGGGGCGGGCCTGGGCTGCACGCTGTTGGCCATCCACATCATGGTGCTCGGTGTCCTCCCAGTCCATGTGGCGGTGGAGCATCACCTCCCCCCGGCCTCTCGCTGTGTCCTAGTCTTCGAACAGGTAAGGGTTGAGCGAAAGGGGAATGGGCGGTGTCATTTCTTCAGAGGACGTTCCCGGAAAGAGGGGCGGAGTCCATTTGAGGAAGGGCACTTGAGGCAGCAGTGACAGGGGCGGAACTAGTTACAAGGCGCTGAGCCCGTTGCTAAGGACTTGCGGGAACCTACCAGTTCCAAGGAAATACAAATGAAATGGGCCTTGCCTATTTTTGTCCCCCTTTACCCTCACTCTTTCCAGCAGCTGTGTTTGTTGGACTATAAGGCAATCCAACAAAAATATTATTAATCATGAGATCTGGGCATATAGTTCTTACAGTCTGTCTCCCTCTCTCCTGTAAACCAGAGCACAGAGGGGTTAAATGATTTGCTCAAAGTCACACAGCAACTTGATCTGCCTTTCACTTCCGTATCAGGTACGACTCCTAATGAAAAGCTACTCATTCCTGAGAGAGGCTGTGCCTGGAGTCCTTAGAGGAGGTGAGCCCTTCAGCTGGCCCTGCTGTCCTCAGTCTTCTTGGCTGATTGAATGAAGTCTGCCTTTCTAAGTTCATCTTGTCCACTGGGCACAGTTCTGGCCGTCAGTTAGGCTCTGTAGGCCTCGTCCTTGGACATTCTCAGGACCAACCCTGTGAATGTTACGCAGGACTTTGGCACCTTCTATTAGGGAATCAGGATAGAAGGAGAAGGACAATGGTGGTGGAACTTGTGGACGTCAAATGAAGCCTCCACAGAAATGAGGGGCTCCTGAAACGGAAGCAAAAGAAGGGGTGTTAAAGGGACGCTTCAGCTTCTGCCCATACCCAGACTCTATATGGAGTCCTTCAGCCACTCTCCTCTACATCTCTGTCCTAGGCAGCTCTCCACTGCCCTTCCCAAACAACCCCCTCACCTCTGCCCTTTCGCCCTGCCCTCTCCACTGACCCACCCGTTCCACTCCCCCTGTCCAGGTGAGGAGATCAGGGCCCCCAGCTTCTCCAGCTACCTCTACTTCCTCTTCTGCCCTACACTCATCTACAGGGAGATTTATCCCAGGTAAGACCCTCCACCCCTTCCCCGAATGCCAGGCCCATGGGAGACCTTTCCCTTCTATGCTATGCTTCTTGAGGTCCTTGTCTCATCTGACACTGACTGCTTTCTCAGGAAGTATCCCATAATAAGGATGAGAAGTAAGTGTCAGGTGGTCTACCCTTCTCCTTGCTCAGCCTATGGTGGCACTGGGGTGATTGACTGTCCTGGTTTGTTCAAAACTGTCCCAGTTTTAGCACTGAAGATTATGTCCCAGGAAGCCTCTCTTTCAAAGCAAACTGGAATGGTTGGTCTCCCTAGTTGACACCCAACGTACAAATCCAGTTGTCATTTCTGTTATGAAAGGCCAAAGTACCCCACAACCCCAGATAATCCTTCCAGGCCTGAGCAATTGAGGGAGCTGGGGAGAGATGGCCCCAGAGCAGGGAACAAAATAAAAGGATGAGAAACATACTATCCTCATTGCTGCTGCAGGACACCTCACATCAGGTGGAATTATGTGGCCAAGAACTTTGCCCAGGTCAGAAGGTGGGGTAGAAGGGTGGACCACCGTTCATGGTGGCTAAGGATGTTTCTGGGAGTGAGGTGGGAAGGTCTGGGAGGAGCAAGGAGGGTGGTGTTAAGGGAAGAGGAGCCAGATATTGGGCTACAGGTCTAATTATAGGGTAAGGGAGCAGCTGTTGGTGCCCCTCACAAAGTTCTGTGTTACCCCGCTCCCTCTGTAGGCCCTGGGCTGCATATTATATGCCTGCTTCATCCTGAGCCGCCTTTGTGTTCCTGTCTTTGCTAACATGAGCCGGGAGCCCTTCAGCCCCCGTGCCCTGATGCTCTCTGTTCTGCATGCCACATTGCCAGGTAAGCCCAATAAAAGCAGGGCTGGAGAAGGCCTCTCCCTCAGGGAGGCTCATCAAGGAAGTCCTGCTTCACTCACTCTCTCCCTTTGATCAGTTTCAACATGGTCTCCCTCCAATTATTCATCCTCATTGCCTGCCATGATCTCAGTTCAAATTACCATACCCTCCACCTTTCCTCATCAGCCTCCTAACTTTTCTCCTTGCCACCCAAATCTTTCCTAACTTCCCTGACCCTATTGCCTGGGTGCATGTCCCAACACCAGATTAATCACTCCCCTGGTGTGGTGCTGTGGGTTAATGCACTGGACTGCAAAGTCGGTTTGAACTGTAAGGTTGGTGATCCAGCTCACCATCTGCTCCTTGGAAACGCTATACAGGGTCATTATAGGCCAGAACCAACTCGACAGCACTTAACAATAACACCATCTGTTTCAAAAACCCCAGTGATTCTATTTTGCAGGCACTTCCAGATTAGATTTGAATCCTTGGTCTGGCACTCTCCTCACATAGGCCCAGACTATCATCTCAGCCTAACCAACTCATCCCCCCGATTCCCTGAAAGACATGCACTTTCATGCCTCCAGGCCTTTGTTCATACTTGTCCCTCAGATTGGAATGCCTTTCCCCATTTTCTATCCATGCAATTCAGCTTCTCCTTGGAGGCTCATGACCGAAATACCCCCTTCTCTAGTACACACTCTTTCCTTTAGCCCTCATCTACCATGACCCATTTCTTGCTCTGCATTCCCAAGGACATCAATGACCACAGTACTCAACTCTATTATATTTGACCCTGATGTGTGGTTGGACATAGCTCTCTCCTTCCTCTTATAACCACTCTGTAAAAGCCCAATGGCCAGGGTCTTTGAGATTCACCTCTGTATCTGAAGCATCTGCCAAATAAATGTTTATGAGCAAATGGATGAATTAATGAATACATGAATTAGTGAATTCACAGCAAATGATTGCTATGAGATGGGTCCCTGGTTGCTGGGTGGAGGCGCCTCACAGCCACATCAGAGCTGCTTGTACAGTCCAGTAGGCCAACCTGACCTGCAGCTCTTTGCCCCAACCTGCTAGGCATCTTCATGCTGCTGCTCATCTTCTTTGCCTTCCTCCATTGCTGGCTCAATGCCTTCGCAGAGATGTTGCGATTTGGAGACAGAATGTTCTACCGGGTGAGGCCTGGGCCTTGGACAGTGGAGTGCTGGAGGCAGGGATTTGGGAAGAATGGTGCCTAGGTCTATAGTTAAGTCAACTGTCCGTCAATCTCCCACAATGAGACATTTGCTCCTTCTGTGTGTGGTAATAATGCCACCAGGCAGGATCAATGCATCTATGTGGATTGTATTAGGACTCTTTTTATTCTGAGCCTCAGCTGACTAGAAGGAAGACAGGGACCCCAGATCCTGAGGAAGGTGTTGAGAGGGTGGCCCTTCTGGGAGAACGTTAGGGCGGAGTGCAGGCAGAGGGAGCAGGGACAAGAAGATGCACCTGGAAAGAGACAGGCCCTGATGCTCATTCTTCCCTTCCCATCCCACTCCTTCTCCAGGACTGGTGGAACTCAACATCCTTCTCCAACTACTACCGCACTTGGAATGTGGTAGTGCATGACTGGCTGTACAGCTATGTATATCAGGATGGGCTGTGGGTATGGACTCCACACACTCCCTCAGCTGCCACTTCCTTCTCACCCCCTGCACCTCCTACCTTTTACAGAGTAAAGATCCCTTTGACTTCCATCTGCCCCTATTCTATCCAACCCAATGGGCAGAAAGTCCTCATTATCTAGCTTCTTTCCCTCCTTATCCTTAATTCTGCTCCTTCCTCAGGGCATTTCCCCCCCTCCTTTGTCTTCTAAAGGAGCCCTGGTTCCACAGTGAATTAAATATTGGGCTGCTAACTGAAAGGTCAGCAGTTCAAACCTATCAGCTGCTCTGTGGAAGAAAGATGTTCCCATAAAGATTTACAATCTTGAAAACCCTAAAGAGCAGTTCTACTCTGTCTTTATGGGGTCACTATGAGTCAGAACACACTCCATGGCAGTGGGTTTATTTAGTTAGTTAACTTTTCTAAGGGGCATGCATATAGCAATTTTCACATAGCGATGGTTTCCACATACATTACTCTGCACAGTAACCCTCGGAACTACTCTAATAATCCCCATTTAAAAATTGCAAATAAAGCATAGTGGGTTAGTAAAATAGTCTTAAATACAACTGACTCTAATCCTTCTACCTTCACATCCCATATTCTTTCCATTGTGCCATACTCCATCCTGGCTTCTTTAAAGAGGAGGTTCTCTGAAAAAGGATGTAAGGGAGAGTTAACTGTCCCCTCCTCTCACCCTTGCCAGCTCATTGGTGGCCGGGCACGAAAGGCAGCCATGTTTGGTGTGTTCCTGGTGTCCGCGATAGTCCATGAGTACATTTTCTGCTTCGTCCTGGGATTCTTCTACCCTGTCATGCTGATGCTCTTCCTGGTCTTTGGAGGTGAGTTTGGCCTCTGCGTGGCAGTGTAGGGGAGCCATCTAAAAAGAGGAAGCCTAGGCCCTGATTCTGGAGATCTCACACACCTGGGACAGGAGGGAAGGCTGCTGAGTATGAGAACTGGAGTGAGGAGGGACTTGGGAGTAGAGGGCAGGAATCATTGGGAGGCAGCTGGGGACATCCTGGAGGATGTGGGAGAAGGTTTTCTGGTTGGAAGGAGACAAAGGGAGAAAAATCAGTAGGTACAGTATGAGATACAGATATTAAAATCTAAACTGAAGAATCCTGATTTTACATGAGTCACTTGAAATCCCCATGGGTTTCTGGTACTGGGTTCCAGATCTTTCCTTACATGGACTTCCTGTTCCATCTCTTCCCTTCTGAGATGGGAGGGAAGCCAGGGAGATAAGACAAAAGTACCAGGAGCTGGGGTGACCGCTTGTTCCCTATTGTTCCAGGGCTGCTGAACTTCATGATGCATGACCAGCACACGGGCCCAGCATGGAACGTGCTAATGTGGACCCTGCTCTTTCTGGGCCAGGGCATCCAGGTCAGCCTTTACTGCCAGGAGTGGTATGCACGGCGGCATTGCCCCCTGCCACAGGTGAGAGACCACGATGATGCCAGGCCCCTCACCCAACTTCCCATCCAAAAGGCTATACTTCCCCTTCCCAACATCAGCTCCCTACTGCTCCCCACTGCTCCTCAATTCAACAGCCATGGTCTGGCACCAGGGTAAGCCCTAGAGTGGGGGTAATGGGCTCCCATGTCTTGGATGTATTTGGTGGGTACCGGGAGGGACCTCATTCACAACCACCCACCTCCCTCTGCACAGACAACCTTCTGGGGACTGGTGACACCTCGATCTTGGTCCTGCCATACCTAGAGGTCAGGGCACCCTCATTGCCCAGATGACCCCACCAAGTTCTTCTCTGCCTGCAAAGCCTGGGACCAGGGGCTCCTCTGTGTGCACTTTCAGACCTGGCTGTGTATCAAGGGGACCTGGAATACATGACCCCAACTAAGAGATTCCAGGGACCTATAGGCAGCTGAGCCCCCATCCCATGGACTAGGCATAAAGCACTCCCACCCCATGGCTGTGCAGATTTCAGGAGACTTGAGGAGCCTAACAGACTTGGTGAATATGGGGGCTCTTGGAGGGATTTGGGCCATCAAGGTTCTAGAAGGGTTAGTTTTTTGACTCTGTGTTTGTTCCTTTCCATAAATAAACTTTGTTTCCTTTTTTATTCATTAATTTCCTCATTCATTCATTTATTGAAGGCCCTTTTGTGACAGCCACTACTGAGAAGCTGTATTTATGAATGCAAGACTTTTATGGTGAGAGGGAATAGGAGTCTTGGCTAACAACCTACCTTGCCTTCTCCCAAAAACCTGGCCTCACCCACTTTCCCACCTCTGTTGCTGTTGTACACAGTCCAGTGGATTCTGAGTCGTACTGACCCTCTAGGACAGAAGAAAACTGCCCCAGAGGGTCTCCAAGGCTGTAATGGAAGCAGACTGCCACATCTTTGTCCTTCAAAGTAGCTGGTGGATTCAAACTACTAACCTTTCAGTTAGCAGCTGCGTGCTTAACCATTCTGCCACCAGTCCTCCTTCTTCCATCTATGCTACTCCTTTCCCAGTTCACATTCCAAACCCCTTTAGTCCTTTGCTCCTGGCAGCCTCTAGCACATTTTGTGATGGCACATTGTTGAAACAAAGACCTGCTTTCTTTCAACAGATCCATGAGAGAAACCTCTTATTGAAGACCTTAGACAAGTCTTTTCATTTCCTAAGCTTCAGTTTCCACAGTCATAAAGTGGACATAAAAATCAGAAGTGTCCTGCCTGTATGGAGACAGAAGGTTAAAAGATTGTTCCAGAAAACCACTGTCACTGTAAGGAAAAGGCCATCTTGAGTCTCTCTACACAGATTTCCCCTTAAGCTGGTGCTGGGGACATCTGGATCAGAAAAGGGGAACATTAGCCCCAGGGGAACTTAGAACCAAAGAGTCAGGGTCCCTAAGAAAGAAATGAGGGCACTTGCTCTCTCAAAGGATTACCCAGAGGGAAAATAAGGAAGGCTGCAGCAAATACCTCCAGTGTGAAATCAACATAGGAAACTACCAATAAGGATGAGCAAAAGGAATAAGTCCAGGTTTCCTCCAACCCTTGCCTGAGCTGTAATCCCACCTCTTTTCATTCTTCCAGGTCTGAGTCCTCATTCCAGGCTTCAATCTTACTTTCTTGTTCACTCCTGGAGGCAGTTTCTGCTGGACCTTGAGTCCTTAGGTTCCCTGGTTCTTCTACTTGTTCTCCCTTCTACCTCTGAGAAACAAAGGTTGATTCACACATTATTTGGGCCACAACCTGGACTAGTCCCAATTGAGTGGTCAGGGGATCTGTAGAAATTATTGAAAGGCAAGGGTAGGGTGCCCAGCACTGCAATGTGACAGCCTGAGAAGCATGGCTTTGGGAGGGGCAGGATTCTAACACTTGAGCTATGTCACACTGTAGGATAAGCACTGAACCACAAGGTCGGTTTGAATTGCAAGATCGGCTGTTCAAACTCATCAGCCGCTCCTCAGAAACCTATATACAGGGCCGCTATGAGTCAGAACCGATTCAGCTGCATTTAACACCAACAATAAACATAAACTCAGTGACATTTTATAGGTGTAAATGGTATTGTTCTCTACATTTCAATTTCTGGTTGTTCATTGCTAGCATATTAAAGTATAATCGATTTTTGTATCTTTACCTTGTATCCTACAACTTTGTTGTATTAGATTCCTAGGGTTGATATACCAACGTACCACAAAATGTGATGCCTAAAATAACAGAAGCATAGTATTTCATTGTTTTGGAAGTCAGAAGTCCAAACTCAAGATGCTGACAGAGTCAGTCATACTCCTCTTGAAGGCAGTAGGGAAGAATTCTCCCTTGCCTCCTCTTAGCTTCTGGTGATGCCTGGCAAGCCTTGGCTTTTTTTTTGCTTGTAGCTGCTCATTTCAGCCTCTGTTTCTGTTATCATACGATCCTTTTCCCTGGATGTGTATGTGTCTCTGTGTTTCCTCTCCACTTTTTACAAGAACATCAGCATAGTGGATTACAAGCTGGGCTTGTAAACCACAAGGTCAGCAGTTCAAATCTACCAGTCACTCCATGAGAGAAAGATGAGACTTTCTGCTCCTGTAAACATAGCCTCAGAAACCCTGCTCAGGATTGCCATGAGTCGGAACTGACTAGGTGGCACACAGCCACCACCATCATGCAATGAAGTACCAAACTTAGCAGAGAAGTAGATAATGCCTTGGGAGGGATGAATGATGTCAGAATTGGTAAAAAGGTTGGAGAGAGGGGATATAGCTGACCCTCCACCTCTTAGGAATCAGTCTTGCACCTCCTCACTGAACTTACAAGCAGGAAAGAGAATCATTATCAGTCTTGTTGATGCTGATAATGATTCTCTTTCCTGCTTGTAAGTTCAGTGAGGAGGTCTCATGCTGCCACTATGCCATTTTCAACAAAAGTAGATAAAGAATTATAAGGAAAGAAAATTAGAGAACAAAATTCCCCATGAACAGAGATGCAAAAATTCTTAACAAAATTGGTAACTAGAAACTAATGATATATACAAAGGATAATCTGAGGGGTCGTCAAAAAGTTCATGGGAAAACTGAATGGAAAGATAGTGGAATTATTCCATGTACTTTTTGAAGTCCCTTTATATATCATGACCAAGTGGGCAATGCAAGATTGATTTGACATTTGAACATAAGCCATTGTAATTCACATATTTAAAGTGACAGTTTCTACTTAAAACCAAACGGCCACCACTCGTCTGTCAGTTTGTTGTACTGTGGTGGCTTGTGAGTTTATGTGATTCTGAAAGCTATGCCACCAGTATTTCAAATACCAGCAGGGTCACCCATGGTGGACAGGTTTCAGATGAGCTTCCAGATGAAGACAGATGAACCAAGAGTGATGAACTACTTCCAAATATTTAGTCGCTGAAAACCTTATGAATAGCAGAGAAATACTGTCAGATACAGTGCTGGAAAATGAGCCCCTCAGGTTGGAAGGCACTCAAAATACAACTGGGGAAGAGCTACCTTCTCAAAGTAGAGTTGACCGTGATGACATGAATGGAGTAAAGCCCATGGGAGAAAAGCCCACGGGACCTTCATTTGCTGATGGGGCAAAACTCAAAATGAAGAGAAACAGCTGTAAACATTCATTGAAAATCAGAACATGGAATGTACGAAGTATGAATCTGGAAAAATTGGAAGTTGTCAAAAAAGAAATGGAATGCATAAACATCAGTATCTTAGGCATTAGTGAGCTGAAATGGACTGGTATTGGTCATTTTGAGTCTGACAACCACATGGTTTACTATGCCGGGAATGACAAATTGAAGAGGAATGGTGTTGCATTCACTGTTCAAAAGAACTTATCCAGATCAGTCATGAGGTACAATGCTGTCTGTGATAGGATAATATCCATGGGCCTACAGGGAAGCCCAGTTAATACCACTATTATTCAAATTTACACACCAACCACTGAAGCCAGTGAGGATGAAACAGAAGAATTCTACCAACTTCTTCAATCTGAAATCGATCAAACATGCAATTAAGATGTATTTGATCATTACTGGTGATTGGAATGCAAAGGTTGGGAGCAAAGAGGAAGGATCAGTAGTTGAAAAATATGACCTTAGTGATAGAAATGATGCTGGGGAACGCATGATAGAATTCTGCAAAACCAATGATTTGTTCATTTCAAATACCTTCTTTAGAAAGCATAAGAGACAACTATACACATGGACCTCACCAGATGGAATACATATAAATCAAATTAACTACATCTGTGGAAAGAGACGATGGACAAGCTCCATATCATCAGTGAAAACAAGGCCAGAGGCAGAGTGTGGAACTGACCATCAATTACTCATATGCAAAATTAAACTGAAGCTGAAGAAAATGAAAATAAGTCCACAAGAGCCAAAATATGAGCTTGAATATATTCCACCTGGATTTAGAAACCATCTGACAAACAGATTTGATACATTAAACACTAAAGACCGAAGACCAGAAGA